GACTCGGCGAGTCCATATTCTGGACTCGGCGAGTCTGTCCGTCTGGGAGAAACCCTAAATCCCCGGGTTGCCCACTATTTAAGCCACCTTATGGCCTCCATTCTCGCCTCCTTCACCCTCAGAAGCTGTGAGAAAACCCTAATTCGTTCTTGAGTGATTTTAAGTGATTTTGTGTGCAATTGTGAAGGCTTGAAGAAGGAGAAGAAGAAAGGAGCAAGGAGAAGGATTGTAGAACAGAGATTCAAGGGAAAGCAAGAGCTCTTTGAGGTATTCTTCAGATTTCCTTCCCTTTTTATGCTTTAAAACCCCCCCTCTAGATCTAGTTGATGCTTTTCTCAAGCCTTATGTTGATATGGAAGCCCTATTATTCTGAGATATCCTTAGATCTGTTCATTTAGGAGTTGTAGAGCCCAGATCTATTGCCTTTATGGAGCTATTTTGCATCATAACCCTAGATCTACCCCTTTTAAGTGTCTTTTAGCCTTTATCCCCTTTTTCATGTGTTTGTACACGTAAAGTTGGAAACTTTACATGGTAAATCAGCTTATTGGACTCAGATCTATCATTTGTATGTATTGGATTCGAGCAGAATCGAGAGTAGAATAGTTGCATGGCGGTGACTCGGCGAGTCGGAAGAACGACTCGGCGAGTCGAGTCGCGAGTCCCCGATTTCTTCCTTTTGAGCGGTGTCGAGTGGGACCAGTGAGTAGTGGAGTGGACTCAGCGAGTTTGAGGGTAGACTCAGTAATGGAGGGACTCGGCGAGTTGTTCATACAACTCGGCGAGTCCAAGGCAATGTTCTTAAGCTCAAGAACAACTCGTCGAGTTGTTCATATGACTCGGCGAGTCGGATGAAGATTGTCTGAGTTCTTGGATCGAGAGGGTACTCATCGAGTCGATGCCATACTCGACGAGTAGCAGCGAGTAGGCTCGAGGAGTGAGAATAGGGACTCGGCGAGTTGGTGGCCCAACTCGGCGAGTCAGGACAACTGAGAGTTGACTTTGACCGAAAGTTGACCTTGACCGAGAGTTGACTTTGACCAAGGGTAAAAGAGTCATTTTACCCAGTGTAGTGTTTAGTATTTGATTGAGTGTGTTTATGGACTTGTAGCCGGGGAGATACCGGAGCAGCACCAGTTAGCTTCCAGAGCCATACACTCAGCAGCCAGTTTACGAGTTGAGTTTCCTTTCAGTAGGAACGGGTCTACGGCCACAATGCCGGCCCGTTTAATTATCAGTAGTTCCGGACTTTGGTCTGATGTAGTAGTTAGAGTGCTTGATGTCTTTGTGATACAAGCATGTTTGTGTTATGTGTTCCGGACTCTGTACCGATGCAGTATGCAGTATATGTGTTTATAATAGTTGTTATGTTTATGCTATGCCATGATCAGTCAGTTCCGGACTTCGGTCCGATGCAGTCAGTTCCGGACTTCGGTCCGATGCAGTTAGTTCCGGACTTCGGTCCGATGCAGTCAGTTCCGGACTTCGGTCCGATGCAGTTAGTTCCGGACTTTGGTCCGATGCAGGGGACAAGGTCCCAGTCAGTTCCGGACTTCGGTCCGATGCAGCTAGTTCCAGACTTCGGTCTGATGCAGTGTGCAAGGCCCAGTATGTGCTTTATATATGTATTGTATGGTATGTGGTAGTTTGGGGGAGCTCAGTAAGCTTCGTGCTTACAGTTTCAGTTTTGGTTTCAGGTACTTCCGCAAGCAGAGGGAAGAGCTCGGGATGATGGCATCGCACACACCATAGCTTCAGCTTTTATCCTGGGAGTTGATTTAGTTTGTAATTTTGATATGACATAGATATGATACAGTTTTTCCGCACAGTAATTTTTATTATGTTTGGGATACATCACGTATGGTTTTTATAATATGACACTCAGATTATGGTTTTTGGTTATATTGAAAAATGAAATTTTTGGGTCGTATTTCTGGGTCGTTTGATATGTAGTGATAGATCCTGGAGGTAATGATTTGAGCCAATCCTTTGCAGCACCTTTGAATGTAACTGGAAGCATACAAAGCAGCTGGGTCTCGCGAGGCACATTTGGAACATTAAAATAATCAACTACATCGTTGACCTCATCCAAGTGTTTATAAGCATCTTCGTGATCTTTACCGTAGAAGGGGATCTCCTTTAGTTGAGCAAGTATGTGACCTTTAAGCTCAAAGGTGGCAGTTGCGGGAATTGCGGGTTGCACAAGTCCCGGGCCGATATCGTCACGTATTCTCTTCTTCCATTCCCCTTTGGGAACTTCATCGATGTTCGCCTTGGGGTTAATCGGTTCGTCTTTAGAGTCGCTTTCTTCCTCGGTTTCGGATTCGGAGCCGTAGTCGAATTCGACCTCATTTAGATTATCTTCAATATTCTCTAACTCGCTTTCTTTGTTCTTTTGACTGCTGGTCTCTCCTACCTTCTTGTTCTTTTTCTTCCCAAAAACCATTTTCAAGCTCTTGAAGGGTGATTTCGTCTGCGTATTAGAACTTTCAACCTCCTTGCCTTTGTTTTTCCTTAAAGCAGATTCTGGGTCTTTAAATCGAGGAATCAGGGGTGTGTTGGATCCTCTGGTCATGTAATACCTGCAAACAAATCAAGAAAAACACGTAAAAGGAATAATAATAAAAAAAACTAAAAATGAAAATAGTTGTTCAGCGATGGAATCGCCGAGTCTGATCGTAGGGACTCGACGAGTTTATTGCAAAAACAACAATTTTTTTAAAACAAACTTCCTAAAATCTATAAACTGAAATTGAATTTTAATTTTAAATCTACTAAAAGCAGTAACTTTGTGCAAGAGAAATCTCACACAAAGGATCGATAACAATAGTAATCAATTTAAATTTAGAACAGTTCCCCGACAATGGCGCCAAAAACTTGATGTGTGTTTAACCAACTAGTTTTATTCCTACTTCTAAATTATAAATTAATCACACAAAAGGCAGTGGACCTGTCAATTGGTGGTATAGATCTAGTAAGCAGGGTATCGAACTCACGGAACGACAATTAAACTAATTACTAAAATTATCTTAAAACAAAATAACAAATAATAAAAGAGGGGTTTTCTCTAGTTTTGCAAGACTAGAAACTTACTAACAATTAAGCTAAATAACTAACTAACAACTAAGCAAGCAAAGACCAACTAAATTCAATATCTAAAAGGACTTATGTTCAGGTTCGACTCAATTGATCCTATGGTTGATTTAATGGTAATAATGGAATGGATTAAACTTTTATTGGCTACCGATTCAGGTGATTAGATTCACGTTCGCTATGCTAATCCTTAGAAAATAAACTAATTCAAGCAGTGGAAAGGTAAGGACTCTTCTGCTTCATGAATCTTCTTGGGAACTCCTCGAGTAGACGTCCCTTCTCGCCGAGTCCTTTGTGTTTTTGGCATTTTTCTTCTTTTGTTCACTCCAAAGCTTCCCGATAGCTACTCCTGATTCCTTTTTCTTCTGAGCACTTCTTTTGGACTGAAAATATAATTCAAACATAATTAAGTACCTTTTGTCCATAGTATGCAATTAATTTTCTAATAAATGATATAAATCCATACTAAATATAGGGCTAAACATGCACATATCATTAACCTAACTAGCATGGCATGGGGAACTTGAAACATAAAAGCTAGTAGGAAAAACATACCTTTCTTGTTGCTTGGATTCCTTGAGAACTTTGTGAGCATAGCACCCCAAATGTGATGCCTTAAAAGTTTAACACAACACCACAACTCTTGGAATAACTTTGTGAGAAGTACACTATCACTCAAAATCGGCTAGCCCTCTTGTTCTACACATAGTGCCGATTTTGGTAGCCCATGGGGTCCTTTCATAGTGGTGTCACAAGTAGTGTTACAACATGTAAACCCTAATTGACATGGATTTTCATATTCCATGATCCATGGGTTTATAACCTCCATGGACTATCCATGGAGCACCTTATGGGTTTTAGCCCAATTCAATAAACCATGGATCATTAGCCCACTATATCAGAATGGATGATTTACACAATCAACCCCATATATTTAATTAATCTCATTTTGATCATCAAATTAGTTCTAAATTAATTCTTGATCAATACTAACTAAATAGTATTATTAATTTATTAGAACTTATAATATATTAATAAACCTTAAGTGTCTTTCCTCTCATTTCATCTATCCAAGTGTCATGATGCCATGCAACCCAAATGGAATGATGCGACCTTGACCTGGACCTCCTACTTGCTCTCCGATATGGTGTTAAAAGGCATCTGCAAGGCCACACGAAGGAACACCCATCAGCCGTTTCCCGGGAGGAGGCTCTCGGAAGAACGCTCCGACGGTCAAGTCAGATGGGGTTTTATGTGTATCTCAAGGAAATTGCTCTTAGAGAAGATGGATTACCTTTAGGGCTCCTGAGTGTAACATTTTATACCTAGCGATCCTGCTCGTCCGTACGGGACATGTTCGCTTTCAGGGGACAAGGTCAGAGGCACTGATTGGAGGGTTGTGCGCCTTTTTATGTCAGAGTACTGCCATTGGCTCCGATGGTAATGCTCTGACCCTCTGCCTTGTCGCTTGACCGTATCCTTTGTCTTGACACTGAGAGCGTCTCTAGCGGGCGCGAGCCTTTCGACGGGGTGCCCGGCTCTTAGGAGCGCTGGCGAGCGCTGAGCCCGCTCCTCTTGGCTCGGCCGGGGCGCCAGGTATCTTGGGCAGGCATGATTCTTCCGTATCGACATAGGCATGCCATCAAGTCCCGTACTCCATTAGCTGTAGCACTGTACTACTAGATATAGAGTTCTGGACTTGATTACTTTAGACGTGTTGCTTCCTTGTTCGTTCGCCGTTCCAATTTTAATGGCGACGTGACCGCTCATGATGGCTAGCGATTACGTCAGCGTGTCAGACATTTTGAACATCCCGCCCTTTCATTTTCTTATAAGAGTACTTATCATACATTCTTATCTACGTTTTCCTCCTTCTCTCTCAACTACATTTTCTTTCCTTTCTTTTCATGGCGAGTCCCTCAGGCATTGTGCCTTCTGCTTCTGAGTACTCATATCTCGAAACCACTTATGGCCTTACTTCTCTTGATGGTGTGGAGTTTCCTTCGCCAGGTTCTTCTATCCTTTCCCCTCCTCCCGGAAAGGTTGGTATCTACTAGAAAACCCTAGATGCCGGCCGTAGTCTCCCTTTGACTGATTTCCAAGAGGAGGTTCTCCAAAAAGATGGTTGCATCGTTCAAATGCTGACACCCAATGCTGTAAACAAGGTTGTTGCTTTTGAGATGATCTGTCGGGCTAATGGTTATCTTCTTGATTATTTTGTGTTTAAATACTTTTTCCGCTTTTGTTGGACCGGTGATAAGTTCATGTTTTCCGTTCGTCGGGACGGACACACCCTAGTGCTTGACGACCGAACGCCCAAAAACTGGCAAGATAGGTGGTTTTGGGTTAATCATGGCTTAGTGGGTAGCGGACGCTATTGTGCCAACACTTTTGCTGATACTACCCCCAAATTATTTCCCCATAACCAGGGCATGGCTGATTTTCTCAAGAACATCCAAGTGTCCCCCGAGGACTATTCTGAGGCCCTTCTCTCCGGTGTAGGAATGAGCCCGTGTTTGAGACGTCACAGTAAAATGGCGGTTTTCTTCGTCGTCGGTGATGGTAAGTGTTTGTATTCTTGCTTTGTTTATCAATGTTAGGATTTTATTATATGAAGATTTTCCCTTTTTTTATTTTTATTTTCGTCAATGCCTTAAATTCCCCAGGTAACGAGTCTCATTTGTCTATGGATGAGGTGCTTCCTAAATGCTATAGGGGTAAATTGGAGCATCGGGAAGCGAATTTAGTCAATCATCTTCCCCCCTTGCTGTTTGGACCAACTTGCTCTTACTGCTGCTATGCCTACTCCTCCATTAAACAAGCGAGGATTCGCCATCTGCCGGGGTGGATCGCCTTGCATTTCACCCACTTTCCTCCATCGTGCCTTTAGGTGGCGTTCATACTACTTCCACCGAGGGTGACACGGACAACAAAGATGGCGTCATTGCAGTTGTTTGACGATTGCAAGCCAAGCGGAAAGCCGTTCTGGCCATGGGCGAGACTATGAGCAGTGCACCTAATGTTGCCAAGAGAATTCAAACAAGGTGTAGCTTCTCGCATCTTCTAAGCTTAATCTCTTCGTCTTTGGCACCCATGGTTTTTATCCCTGATGATGATGTTCAATAGTCTGAAGGGATTGATGGGGCGCATAAACAGCCCGTAGTTCCTGCTTCAGTTGTTCCCCCTATTTCTACCACCTCTTATCCTTCAAAGGATCTTCGCGATCCGGATCCCACACCTATTTTTCCTACCAAGAACTTCGGTGGGGTTTCTTCAGTACCCTCTCCTTTTTCCCCACTTGGAATCTTCACAATGAGTCTCGTCTCTCCGTTCGTGCTAATGCTTTAGAGTTTGCCCGACATGCCTTTACTCTTGCCACTGCTGCTGATATGGAGGCTATGGGCAGTCCTGCCTTGTCTCATAACAAGACCTGCATCTGTATGCAAGCCATGTTTTATCTTGTTGTTGGAGCTCGATGTATTCAGACGCTCAACGAGATGGAAGATGTGCATGCTGATTGTGGGGTCTATGTAACTGAGTTAGAGCAGCATATTTTAGAACTTACTGGTGATCTGCAGCATGCAGAGAAAAAGTATCAACTTCCGGCTTCTGAAAAAGCTACGATGGAGGAAATTAGGTCTGGTTTGGAAGCTAAAGTCGATTCTCTTTCTCAGGTTAACGAGGGTTTAATTATTTTGGTCGAAATCCTTGAACGTGACGCAACCGATCGCGATAGGGTAGTTACTGACATGAAATCGAATGTGAACGTGACATAGTGTGATCTGAACTGGTTATTACAGGTGGGGCTTGTGCGAGTTGTGGATAAGTTAATTGAGCATTCAGATTTTATGGGGGTGGTGAGTCTCATCCGTCATGCCACCTTTGTTACCGGGGCGGAGTCTGTGCGCACTGCTCTGGTCACCGCTAGTCACCCAGGTCTTGTGGATACCCCTGCTGCTGGCCCCGTACTAGTGTCAACGAGGCTCTCTTAGCATTGCTAGTATGGATCATGCTTCATTGTTGGGGTTAGGCGAATTGGACATGCAGGGGGTTCGTGATCTTTGTGTTTTCTTTGGTTCTGATGGTACTCCTGAAGATGTAGTGGATGGGAACGATGGAAATGATCATGGTGAGAGCACTGTTTCTAGTGGTGAGGGTGTTGTTAATGAAGGTGGTGGTTGTAGCGATCATTTGGATGCCAACGTTTGTCTGGGTGATGAGTGTAATAAGAATGATGTTGTTCCTGATCCAGGTCGTGTTGATGACATTGGTGAGAATGCTGAGGATGTAGAAGATGTTGTTGTGCGTGGAGGTGGTGGTATTAATGACGGTGATGGTATGATGTAGGTTTCGTGTGGTACCCCTATGGGGCATGAAAACTTTTTTTTGATGTTTATGTCTTGAACTCTCGTGTGTGGTTATTTTTGGCTTTTCTGTGTTGGCGATGTTATCCTTGTTGTGATATTTCACGATATATGCAATGTACTCGCTATGTGTTTATTACTCCACATATCGTTAGTTGCTAAATCTATTAATGCCACAGCGCCACAAACTAAGCGTTCAACCTTATTCTGAGCATGAGGTTGATGCCTCGAATAGTTCGATGCACTAAGCGTCCGCATGAGCCGATGTGTTTGGTTTTATATGTGTTGATCATAAGGTTAATACTCTAAGTATTAAGGCTGAATGTACTAGGTTTTAATATATACTGAGTATTTAATACACTAAGTATTATCATTGAATGCACTAAGCATTATAATTTGATACGCCAACATTTAAGGCTTAAATGCACTGAGCATTACACGCGTTAATCATTAAGAGTTCAGTACACTAAGTACAGATTCCATCATTTTAACTGCTTAGATTTGTACACTGAGTACAAGCCTATAAACACATCGAGTATCAGAGCCTTCTTTAGTGCTTACGCACTCGGGTTTTGATCTTGGCTTCTTGCTCTTGAATTATCCACCGGTACTTGCTCCAACTTCTTTGATTTCTTGTAGGGGCTTTCTTCTACAAATAAAATTTCCTCAAATTCCTTATGTTCCACATTCTTGGAATCTGCCTTCCTTCCATTGTTTCTAGTATGTACGCCCCATTCTGGTTTGCTTCGACAACCTTGTATGGACCCTTTGATACAGGTTCTAGCTTACCCTGAGGCTGAGCCCGACTTTCCTCGTTCTTTCTTAGCACATACTCCCCCACTTTGAATGCTTTTTCCTTGACTCTTTGGTTGTAATATCTCTTCGTCGCACGTTTGTATGACGCCTGGCGTATGCTCGCCTTTCCTTAAGGATATCTCGGTTCAACCTCAGGTCTCGGGAATTAGCTTCTTCATCGGCATGGATTGTCCTTAGCGTGCCTATCATCACCTCCGCTAGAAGCATTGCCTCCGCTCCATATGTCAAACTGAATGGTGTCTCCCGCGTGCCTGTTCGTGGGGTGGTCCTATACGACCGTAGCACCGTTGGTATCTCTTCTGCCCAATTTCCTTTGGCCTTTCCTAACCACTTTTTAATCCCGTTCATAATGGTTCTATTGGATACTTCGGTATGTATGTTTTCTTGTTGGTGTGCCACTAATGTGAATCGTTGATTTATCCCCTTGCTAGCGCATCACTCCTTGAACGGGTTTTCAGTAAACTGAAGTCCATTGCCACTTATCAACGTTTTAGGTGTGCCAAACCTAGTCATGATATTCTTCTAGACAAACATGATCATGTGCTTTCCTGTTATGCATGCCAATGGTTCTGCTTCGATCCATTTTGTATAATAGTCCACAGCCACGACCATATATTTTAATCTTCCTGGCACTTCTATGAATGGTTCCACAATGTCTATTCCCCATTGATAAAATGGCTAGGGGCTAGATATATTGGATAAGAGCTCCGATGGATTCGCTTGGACCATGGAGAACACTTGACACTCCCCACATGCTTTCGTCTTGGTGCACGGTGGGCCAATAGATTCCCATCTGAAGCACCTTTCCCATTAAAGCTCGTGCCCCCTCATGTGTGTCTGCTTGACCTGCATGTGCTTCCCGCAATGTCTCTTTCCCTTTTACCTCGCCCATGCATCTTAGCCATGGTGTCGTGAACCCTTACAGGTATAGTTCCCCCTCAATTAGAGCGTATGAAGGTGCCTTTATGCGCACTCTTCTGGCCTCGTCCTGACTATCAGGTAGGACCCCTTGCTGTAAGTAGTCTATTAGTGGGGTCATCCATGTGGGTCCTGTTGTCGTGAGTGTGCTTACCTGCCGTTCCTCTATGCTTCTTTCCTTGAGCACTTCGACCAAGACCTTCTTCGATAAGTGGTCAAAACATGTCGACTCCAGTTTGCTTAGGGCATCAGCTCTTCTATTCTCGCTTCTAGGGATTTGCTTCATAGTGAACTCCTTAAAGGATTTGGTAAGCTTTCGCACTATCCTAACGTATCTTTCCATTCTTTTGTCTCTTGTCTCGAAGCTTCCATAGACCTGTTTGGCAGCCAGTCTTGAGTCTGTCAGTGCAGCTACGACCTCCGCCCCCATTTGTTTAGCCAAGCGTAGGCCGACAAGTAGTTCCTCATAGCCCGCCTCATTTTTTGAGGTGTGAAGCCGAAACGGAGGGCATACGTAACCTCTTCTCCTTCCATGATCGTTAATATTAGGCCATCCCCCGAGCCCTCCTTGCTGGACGCTCCATAGGTATATAACGTCCATTTTTCTATTTCCCTTTGGAATTTCTTTTACCGCCATGATTCCTCCTTTGGTTACGTCTCCTTCCCCTGGGACTTTAAGAAGGAAATCTGCCAGCGCCTGCCATTTGATGCTTGTCCTTGGCTGGTAGCTGATATCATGTTCACCTAGTTCGATTGCCTATTTTGTGAGTCTTCCTGAGGTTTCGAGCTTGAGCAAGATTTGTTTAATCGAGCAATTCGTCAGGACCTCTATTTGGTGGGCTTGAAAATTCCGTCTCAACCGTCTTGCAGCATAGATCAATGCTAGCACCAGCTTTTCTAGGGTGGGATAGTTAAGTTCAGAGCCTTGTAACTCTCTGCTCAAGAAGTACACTGGCTTCTGTTCCCCTTCTCTTTCCACAACTAGTACAGAGGATATGGTTTCGGCTGAAGTCGAGAGGTATACCTACAATATTTCACTGGGAATGGGACTAGCTAACGTGGGTAGTTTGTGTAAAGCCTCCTTAATTCCTTGGAGTGCTACCTGTGCTGCCGCTGTCCATAGGAAATTTATTTTCTCGATGCAGCCTTTCAATGTGTTAAATAGCGGCATAGCCTTTTCAGCTGACTTTGAAATCAACCTACTGAGCGTCGTGATTTTCCCATTCAGGACTTGTGCGTCCCTTAGAGTACTTGGTGGCGGTGTTTCCATGAACTCGTCAACTTTTGTTGGGCTAGGCTAGATGCCTTGTTTGGTTACATAGTATCCTAGGAACTGGCCTTATTCCATTCCAAATGTGCACTTGCTCGGGTGTAGATTCATCCTTGCTTTTTCCAACATTTTGAATGTCTCTTTAATATCCTGCAACATCTTTACCTCATACTCAGTTTTAATGACCATGTCATCGACATTTACTTCAATTTTTCTCCCAATCTGGCTTGAGAACATGAAGTCGACCAAACGTTGGTATGTTGCCCCCATGTTTTTTAAACCGAAGGGCATTTTGGTATAGCAAAATGAGCCATGGTTGGTGTAGAAAGATGTTTTCTCCTCGTCATCCTTGCTCATCAGGATCTGGTGATACCCTTTATATGCATCTAGGAAACATTTTAATTTTAAACCTTGTAGTGATTCTACTTTTTGATCAATTTACGGGAGGGGGTAGCAATCTTTAGGGCATGCCTTGTTAAGGTCGGAGAAATCGATGCATATGCGCCATGACCCGTCATGCTTCCGTACCATGACATGATTAGCTATCCAAGTTGGGAAAACTGCCTCCCTCAGGATCCCCGCCTTTGTCAGCTTAGTCACCTCTGCGTTGATCGCCTTATTACGATCTCCCCCTGGACCCTCTTTTTCTGTTTAACTTCCTTTGTACTCGGTTTAATCATGAGTTTGTGTTCAATGATTTTCCGGTCTACACCTACCATGTCTGTGGGTGTCCATGAGAATATGTGCTTGTATCGCCTGAGGAGATCGACGAGTGCCCGCCTGGTGTGCTCTGGAAGGTTGCAACCGATGCTGATTGTCTGGTCAGGGTGTTCTTCGTTGACCACCTCTTTCTCGTATGCCGATTCCCCCGTGCTTTTTTGGTTTCTCTTGTTATCTCGGCTGGTTGCATAATCGAAAGCACTATAGTTGTCTTGGTGGTGTGGCCAGGATTGTGTCCGGGCCTCCGCTAGTGTTAAACTTCACTATCCCGTGCATTGTGGATGGAATCACGCGTAATTTGAGCAAGGCTGGCCTTCCCAGGATTATATTGTGCTCTGCTGAATGTCGGATCACAACAAAATCTACTAGGACTATTTTCATTCGTTGCTTGTCATGACTAGTCAGTGTAAGAGGGAGGTGGATCATGCCTAGTGGCCACAGACTGTGTCCCGTGAATCTACCAAGCTTCCCGTTGTAGGTCTCAGGTCGTCCTTCCACCTGTCTGGAAGACGGCGGAAACAATGCTCGTAGATAATGTCTGTAGAGTTGCCCGTGTCGATATACACTCTGTGTATGACCACGACTTCAATAGAGGCATGTATTATGAGAGGGTTGTCACCTGTCTAGCCTTCGGGTCTGGGATCTTGTGCCGAGAATGTGAGCTCTTGTGTCATGGGCATGGGGTTCTCTTGGTGTGCAGTTCCCTTGTGTTTGCTTCTCTTGCCTCGTATCATGAATATTTCTTTTGGCTGAGTACGTTCTTTCGGAGCTCCTTTGGCGTTTTCTGCGTCAAACTTGGAGCACAGGCTGCATGCTACCTCCACAAGATCTCCCTTGAGCTTCTTCTCCTCCATTTCTTTTTTTAAGGACTGAGTAGTTGGCAGTGTCATGTGTTTTGCTTTTGTGGTATTCCAAGTACCGTCCTTCTGGTGCTCTCTCTTACTGTTTGTCCGTGACCACATATACATCTGGACGATGACCCTGTCTGTCATCCTTGACGAATGGCCTGAAGTGACTTATTGGTCTCTTCCTTCGTCCGAAGTGCTTGCCTCCCCCTGACGTTTCTGTATAGGTTGGGTTAGAACGCTTGACGGCCATTACGTTTAAGTATGCTTGTTTGGCTGCTTCGTTTTCCTCCTGTCTTAAATATCTTTCCACCCTTTCCTTTAGTTCAGCTCTTGTCTGTGGTTTTTTGCCCATGATTTATTATGACAGAGGGCCAGGGAGGAGTCCCCATGTGAAAGCCCCTACTATAAGACCCTCGTCATGACCCGGTACGTCCAACATGGCATTTGTAAACCGTGTGAAGTACTCTCTTACGCTTTCCCCTTCCTTTTGCTTACATCCGATGGTGGAATGGGAATTGTCTTTGTACTTTTGCAGTTGCATGAAGTTGGTGAGGAAAAGATACTTGAGTTGGGCAAATTTGTAAATGCTACCCGGGCACAACATCTTGAACCACGTGCCTGCATTTCCATCTAGTGTTGTTGGAAAATATGTGCACCATAAACTCTCATCTAGATTTAATGATGTCATTGTCCATTCGTATGTGTCGATATGACTGTTTGGATCGCTGGTACCACTCTAAGTTTTCAAATTGGGGAGCTTTGCTGTGTTTGGGATCTCGTAATCTAGCAATTCCTTAGCAAACGAAGGTGTGACACTCCGTGATAGGCAATCTTGATTGGGGATGGTTAACTAGCCATGTACATTATACTAGTGAGGCGTGCTGTACGGCTGTGCCCCAGGGTGACTGTAGAACGCTTGGTATCCTGGATTAGGACCATAGAAGGCCTGTTGCTGGAACGACAACTGCAACGAGTATCCCAGATGTATGAGTTGAGGTTGAGCCAGGGACTGCGTTGGTGCAGGCTGCTGTTGACTTGTGTGGGTGGTCACGATGGGCTCACCCCATGTGCCTGTCAAAAGGTGAGGAAACAATGGTTGTGCTATCATGGTTTGCGCGAGCGGAGGGAGCATCTAGGGTGTGCTCGTCGGTATCTGGCTCTGTGGTGACACATGGAGTGATGGTTGAGTGTGTGGTGTTTGGCTTGCTGGTATCATAGCTGGAAAAAGGGGAAGCTGACATTGTACCATCGGGGCAAAAAGGGCAACGTTTGGTTTACTGAGAGTTGTGTTGCCATTGGCTAAAATGTTAACGGCGTCGGCAAAGGTGTGGCTAGTGGTGCCGTCCCCATAGGAGGCCTCAGTTTTTGGGATGGCGGTTGGATGATGGCTTCTATGCTTGTTGTCGGCAACAAAGGAGGTGGTTTAGCTAGTTGCTGGGTTCGTGTGGGTGTTGTAATTAGCATAGAGCTTCCTTCGCCAATGGGTTCATTGGTGGCTGTTATGGGTGGCGGTATGTTGTCCAACGGTGTCATGGAGCGTATAGGGCTGTTCTGGATTCCCTCAACCCCGTCTCCACCGTCAGACGCCATTGATTTTGTTGAAACAGTGTTTTTTTGCTTCGGTCTTTGTCACACTAAATGGATGGCACCAAATGATGC